GACCATCTCCATCGGGAGGACCATCTCCATCGGGAGGACCATCTCCATCGGGAGGACCATCTCCATCGGGAGGACCACCTCCATCGGGAGGACCACCAGCGACTTCAACAGCTACGGCGCTACCAGAGATTCCAACAGGCACGACGTTACCAACGGATAGACCATCTTCATCGGGACCACCTGCTCCTGAATCAACAGGAGCTATTCATGTTAACTCACCTGGGCCTGGTCCATGGCAAGTTGGTTCAACTCTTAACATTACTTGGTCTTATACTGGATATTCTGGTGATAGTAAGTTTTCTTAAAAAAGTTTTTTTTTTTTTTTTTTGAAAATGAATTCTAAATTTTATCGAATTGATCTTTAATTGAATTTTTTTTTTTTTTAAAAAAAAAAAAATCAATAGCACCCGTCAAAGCTTCTTGTAATCTTACTAAAACGGGTGAAGCAGTCTGGATATATAAAGTAAAAATTTTTTAGAATTGCTTCTGCTCTTTAAAAATATATATTTATTTATTTACATTATGCATAACTAACGAAAACAAATTTTTTATTCCTTTTTTTTCCTTTCTTTCTTTCTCGCCCGCTCGCATGCATTACAATTATTATAATTATTACAAAATTAAAATAATAATAGGAAAAGGAGGGCGAAGAACTTACTCTCAGGTATTATTTAATAGTATTATTTGTTAATGAATTTTTTCATGAGTTTTTAATAACTGATAATATTATACATTATTTATAGCAATGGAAGTGTTCCATTTACTGTTAACAATTCATGGGCAACCGGATCTGATAACCCTTACGTAGCTGTTGTACAATTAAAAGATGATTCAGTGTCTGCGCAAAGCAGCGAATTCACCATTGAATGAGTTAACAAATGAATGAAATGGCGTTAATTCCTTTTTGAATTGATCAAATTTTATTATTATTTAATTTTTTTTTGTTTTTTTTTTATTCCGTCCTCTTTTATTTAAATCAAAATATTTTCGTGAAGTTATTATTATTAGTATTATAATTGTTAATACATTACATATAAAAAAATATTGTTTTTATTCTCTCTCTCTCTTCTTCTCTTTCTCTCTTTCTCTCTATTTTTTTTTCAATTAAACAAGAATTTTTTATATACGTAACGGGTTCTGTTATACGAAATTTAAGTATATATATTTTTTATTTAATAAATAAAGATAAAATTCGTTTTTATCTATTTTCGTCTAAATTACAAATTTTTTCTATGAATTTTCCACGATTAAACAAATAATAATAATAATAATAAAAAACACGGGCTTGTTTGATTGATTTTATCATTAATTAATTTATTGATTTTGTATTTTTTTTTTTTTTTATTATGCCATTTTTACCCTTTTATTTTCTATTGTACTATTTACAATAGTGCCGTTTTTTCTACTTTCTATATGTAATACGGCTTAAAATCGTTTATTCTAAAGAAATTTCGAAAAGAAGTCATATATAATAATGGCTTGTGTGAGAAAATAATTTATTTTGTGGCTTTGACCAATTATGTTCTGTTGATACTATATAGTTTCTTTTTATCCGATTAATAAATATTAGATAAAATACAGAATAAAATAAATAAAATACAATAAATATTAGAGATAAAATTCAGGATAAACACAAACAAAATACAAATAAATAAAATAAACATATTAAAATGGGATAAAAACAATATACTAAAAAATTCATGAATGATCTGGTTTATTTCATGCGCATTATTTATGAAGAAAGAAAACAGAGAGAAAAGAAAGGAGTTCAATAAGAGAAATGGGGGAAACAAAAAAAAAGAAGGTCATATGTCAAAAGTAAATTAATGCTGTAATTGCATTCGGAAAAATTATTTGATGGTTGTAATGTCTGATTAACCTTGTGGAATAACAAAACAAAGCTTATTGTACTTTTATATCACTTATTTATTTTATTTTATTTTACACACTTATTTTCTCGCTTTTTAAATTCTTGAATTATTCCAAAATATCTTTTATAATGATAATAAAATGTTTAATCATTGTTTTTTATTAAAAATGACAATAATTTACTATCAAATGAAAGAAAGAATTAAAAGGTGGCAACGACGATGACGAACGACGGTTAATGATTCATTTGATTATGATTATTATTATGATGATGACGATTCGATAATTTCACATGTTGAACAGCAACAACAACGAAAATGGAGACAGCAGCGACAAACGCTTAGTAGTGGTGATTCATTAATTGATGAATTTATTTATCAACAAAATTAACAAATAATTATGTTTTATATAATCTATATAATAGAAATGATAATAATGAGGAAAATTCAATTAATTGGAGATTCATGAAATTAGAAGAGGTAAAATTTCTACAGTATTTGTTAGTGTATTAAATTTATTATTTAATTCTGAAATTATTTCTAACAAATTAATTAATAGGGCATTTATATATCAATATATTAATTTATTTTATATATTTATTTATATTATTAATTTATATTATATTAATTTATTTAATTTATATTAATTATATTAATTTATATATTAATTATATTAATAATTATTTATTATTTATATAATTATTAGTTGATGTACTTTGTAAAATTTTACAGAATTTTGAAGAATTCCTAAACCTATGAATACATTATAGTAAGTCAATTAAATAAAAATTTGAATTATTTCCCAACAAGAATGGAGAATAAAATTTAATATCTTAAGAGATATCGTTAAAGATATTGAGCTAATTCATTATAATTTATATTCGGGAAATATGTTACAAAATGAATATTCAACAATTGGATTATCTTATCCTACTAATTTAGAAAATATTAATAGTGACGATGATAATAATAATAATAGCGATAGTGGTAAAAGTGAAAATATTAGTGGTGGCAATGAAAATAAAGTAAAGGTGAAAGTAGAAGTGGTGGAAGTAAAGTTGAATTAATTAGTAGAGTAAGTAAGGATAGAATAGATAGTTTAGATGGAAATAGATGGAATAGATGGAATAAATAATTGAGTGAGTAGAGAAGGAGTATATTAAAATGGAGTCTTACCATCCCGAAATACTAAGAGGAAATAATTATGCCAGTTATTCAAATATATATTATTTGGAATAATAATGTGGGAATTAATTTATTCTAATTAACCTCATGATATAAATTTACAATTAGAAATCATTAATGAGGAAAAAAGATCAGAGAATGCACCGAATTTTTATATTGATTTAATGAGAAATATTGGAATGATAATCCTTTACAAAGACCCACTTCTTGTTATTTATATAATTATATGAAAAATTTAAGAAACATAATGAATTTAGTAACCATTTTGATGAATTTAGTAACAATTTTATTAATAATAATTAAAATGGTGATAATTTAGATCGATGTTTACGAAAGTCAAATTTTAATATTTATATGCATATTTAAAACAAAATCGGTCGATCGAATCAAAACAAATAAATATAAATATTAATGTCAATATTAATGTCAGAAAAATAAACATTACGTCCCACAACGCATTAACGACATGTTTAGAATGGTATATTTGCAATTTTACATACATACACGTAATTTTCGGTTAGATTTTTTTTTTTTTAGTCTAATCGATGAAGTATTTTTTTTAAAAAATAAATGTGTTATCAATCAAATAAACAAATTAACCTTCAATATTTATTTACACCATTTGTTATGAACGGTCAAATAATGTATATATTTACCGTACCGTAGATCCAAAAATAATTCACAATATAATATAATGATAATAAAATTAAAACAGCTTTCAAAAAAAAAAATCACCAGCTTATGATACAAATTTGGTTCCAGATAAGATATAAAATATGTAATAATTTTTTTTTTAAAATATATTAAATACATTGAAAAACTATTGTTGAAATTCAAATATTTTTTCTCTTGCTAATTTGAAAAACTTCATAATCATCTATTAAAAATGTACCAGTTGATTTTCTAATTAATTTTTCATAGCCCTGAATATATCTAATTTCAAATGATTGATTTCCACTCAAATATAAATCATTGACAAAATTTGGACTAAAATTGGGATTATTAAAAATAGCTTCACTGGGATTTTTTACACGACTAAGGATAGAATTTTTGATATTTCCATTTTTTAAAGAAAAAAGAAAACTGTCATTAGTTTCGGAATATTTATACTATGAATTAGAATTCCATCCAATAGGATTGTAACCACGAATAATCTCATCTGTATCTTTAACTTTTGCAATGACAACAACATTTATTTTCTGATCACATAAATTCCAAAATACTTTATTTTCAAATCCATCTCTGCTTACACGAAGTATTAGATTGAATTCATATGGATTATTATTAATTTCATATGTTACATCTTTATTATCAACCCAAAATGCAATTTCAGTTGCTTGTTCAATATTAATTATTGATTATGTAATTTGAAAAGTATATCCACGATTTGGAAGCTGGGTGGTGTATATTTTACGAGGTGGTAAAATTGTCAAAGTGATACCTTTGTTAAGAGACATGGAATATTTTAAAATATCAGCCCACAATTTTTCATCAAGAATTTGTCAATATGGAAATACTTTTTTCATAATATTTTCACTGGAAATTTGAAGATATCGAATGTGAGGTAAACATCGTTGTAAAGTATTTTTTAAAATTTGATAATCCTTGTCATCATCAACAGTTTGAGAAATTCCCCATTGAATTACGTAATCCCAAATTTTGAATTCTCGAGTTGTATTCATCCCTTTGAATAATAGATACCAAAGCTGCTTCTGGAAGAGTATTAAAATCACTTGATTCGAAATTCAAGTTAGGATGTTTTATGATTATATCATTGCAATAATTTTGAAGTGCTTTAAAATGAGTTTGAAAACTTGAACTGTAAATTTTTGAAAAATTTAATTTTAATCAAGAAGAATGATTTTCAATAAGAAAAATCTGAAGTTTTGCGGTTAATTCTTCAAGTTGAAATTGATTTGCAGTCATCAAAAGATCAAAGATAATAGATGTTTCGGCTTTTTCAAGATTGACCGTAGCTCCATAAATGTATCTATTGTGGCGATCCAAATTGGTAATCAGGTGAAATGTCATGGGGGATAATAAATTGTGTCACTATATGAACATTGTTATCTCCCGTGAGATGACCATACGAGGATGAAGGATGAAGTACGAAGATAACCGTACGAGGATAAAGGATGACTGTACCAGGATGAAGGATGAAGTACGAAGATGAGTAGGATGAAGTGTAAACAAAAGAGAAAGTATAAATATGACTGTTGTCAGATATAAGTTTAAGAGGAGAGAGTGATCAGAATTTATTAATAGTTATTACTTAATTAATTATTACCTAATATTACGGAATATATCGAAATATTTTAATTATTATTAGATAGAAAAGTAAACTTACTTCAGGGACGGTAAAATAGACATCCTAACACATGATAATATTTCT